AATGGTGTGCGTCTTTCATCAAAGAGAGGAGAGGGGGTCAGAAAGCAGAGGCATTTTCACCAACTGTGGGGGGCTGGAGGCTTGAAGGCATTTGGTACGGAAAAAGGATCAGGGAACTACTATAGCCCCTGGTCTCCCCTAGGTGGCAGGTTCCCAGGTGGTGGGCAGCTCTTGGCAGCCAGCCTTGGAGCAATAAGGCAGAGATCCCAGTTGGGAAAGGGGGCGGAGGCTTTCCCACCTAGTGCTGGCCAGCTCCCTCTTCCTGTCACCCCATCGGAGTGAACAGCGTCCCCTGTCTTTATCTCTGTCCTGGGGCACAGGTGGAGGCCAGGAAGGTAACTAGAGAGGCTGGTCACTGAAGCCACATCACAGAGTGTCACTCTAGCACATTTCAGGATCCTCTTCTGTCACCTTACCTCATTTCATCATCATCACAACCTGCAAAGTGCTGAAGATAGAAAATTTATCCTGCTTCTGAGAGTAGGAAAACGACCCCCACAATATAGGTAACTCCTGCCTGTGGGTTACAGAACTTGGAGGATGAAAGGAAGCAGGCATGTGGCCCACCCCCGCTGTCCTGACAGCTCTACTAAGCACTGGCCATAGCGGCGCCCTGAGGGCTGCTTGCCGCATGTCGGCGCAAGTCCTGCTCGCTCCCCAGCCCAGGGCTTCGCAGACACCCAGGCGATTGAGTTGAGAAGTCAGTTACACATGCAGCCCACTGCATCTCTCCTCAAGGGCAGGAGCAGTGTTAATGCTGAGGCCTGTGACACAGCCTGCCGACGTCAGTCCGGGAGGCTGGCTGACGTCAGTTGTGACACGTAATTGCCTGTTTTTGGCCGAATAACAAGAGGAAAGTTACCGTGAAGGGACTGTTTGGAGCCCTCCTCAGCACGGCGGGGGGGATGGGAGCAGGGTGTGGCCTGCACCCAGCCTGGGTGATGGTGTGTTCTCCTCCAAGCTGGCTAAGAGTACTAATGCTTTTACCAGTCTGTTCTGCAGATCGTAGAAACGGCAGGGGGTGGGAGTGGCAGCCGGCGGATCTTTCAAGAAAAGGGAGGCACAAAGAAATACAAATGGGGAGTATTTTTGCCTTAGTTGGTTAAGACCCACTGGAGGTCAGAGTTCTTTCCCCCAAATTCTTAAATCTTCCCAGAGGGTCCAAAAGTAGATCTTCCATCTCAGTGCTACAGCATGTTACTGAAAACAGGATAGGAGCTTGAAAATACACCTTTCTTTCAAAAAAGCAAACAACGCCTGAATGCCTCTTCTCAAGCTGGTAATGGTTTCTAGGGCCCGTACCCTGTATAAAGGCAGAAGGAGAGAGCCCAGGGAGCCCGGATGCTGGATGCTCAGTGAGAATCATGGCTGAGGAATGCTTCGTTGTGCCCCTGTAAAGCTGTTCTTTTCAGCAGCATGCTTAGGAAATCGGGACACACTGACAGTGACTGAACTTCTGCAGTTATCCGAGGCCTGACTAGTCCTGTCTCAGGAGCTGCTTCCGTCTCACCTCTGCAGCTGGTTGTGGTGGACAGATAGAGGATGTAGCATGTCTCAGGAAGTAGAGCACTCTGACCAGTGGTATGTCTTCGGTCTGGTAATTGATGGTAAAGAAGATACCATCATCCTTATTTGAAAGAAGGCAATTAAAACATGTCTCCAGTGACCAAGCTGAGCAGAACCAGAAGGAAACAGATGTATTTTGTGACTTCCCCTGAGTAGAAAGCTAGAAGCATTAGCAGTTTGGTGGATGAACTGATAACTGTTGAAGCTGGGTAATGGGTATGTGGAGGTTCGATACACTGTCATCTCTACTTTTATATACCTGAAATTCTCCATAATGGGTTAAGTCCGTGGAAAATGGCATCTGCTTTGTGAAATTAGAAAATATAAAACCAGAAATATTTCTAAAAAAATTGGGGGCAGTTTTATTAGAGATAATAAATTGAAAAGCTGCCTCTAAATCTTTAAGTTAACAAGGTAGAAAAGTCCTTCCCTTAATACCTTTTACATTGAGTCATTCCCACTGCCTGGCACCTAACAACACAGAGGCAATTTTTTTTTCTTTTTTTAAAGACATCCCCAGGAGCACATTTCGTCCTATGTACACAACATAATAACTGAATACGGTACAATGTATCTGCAAGCATTTATCGCATATTCATTATATGCCAGACACTTATTAAGCCCTAATGATGGAAGTCATTGACTTTAAAGAGCTTACATTCTAGGAGGGGAGCTAGACATGCAAGTAAAATGAAGCACAGCATGATTACCAAAACAACAGGACGATAAGTAAGGGATGCAGCTAGCGTGGAGAGAGGGGCTGGATTTCTAGCTTCCCTGTGGGTAGGGGAAGTACGTGCAAGGGTCTCCTGGTGGTTTGTCCAAGTTGGGGGTTCAGGGTGGAGTGGGCCACTCATCCTATTCCTTCTGCCTTATTTCACTGAATTCTCTGGACTCATTGATCTGTCAAAATACAGTAAAACATCTGTTAAATGAATTGTCCCTCTGGATTTTTTTTTAATTGAGATATTACATGCAGAAAGTACATGTTAAACACACCACTTGATTAATTTTTGCATGTAAATTACATTCCCATGTAACTACTAGATTAAGATAGAACATTTTCAGCACTCCAGAAGACTTTCTCTCCTTCCCTCTTTCAGTCCATATCGTCTTACAGATGTAACCAGTACTCTGACTTCTAGGACCATAAAATTAGTTTTACCTCTAGCCTGAACTTTGTGTTAACAGGTGAACTTGTGTTAACCTTTTATATCTGGTTTCTTTCATACACGTTAGGTCTGTGAGGTTCATCGATGTTCTTACAAATAAATAAGCTAAAGTTCCTTTTTTCATTGCTGTGTAGTATTTTATTGTGTGAAAATACAATTTATCCATTCACTTGATATTTGGGATATTTCCTGTTTGGATATTATAAATAATGTCTTTTGTTGGATGTAAGCATTCATTTCTCTTTTCACTCAAGAGTATAATTGCTGGGTTATAGGATATGCTTATGGACAGAGAACTTTAGGAGAGGTTGTGCCCCTCTGGGGGTTTTCAGCCGTCTTGCTGTATTCAGGGGTCTGAGCTGCCACGTGACCTGTACTGTGTTTTTGTTTTCCCCTTGCTCTACCCCAAGCCACAGTGTTGAACAAAAGTAATGATTAGAAATGCAGAGACAAGGTGCAGTTGTGTGAGATGGAGTATCAGTAATCCTCGACTTCAAAGGGAAAGTCTCCAATGACCTGTTCTCACGGGACAGTTTTGTGACCTCCATCGTGCCAGCCTCAGTTCCATTTTCTAAACACTTGAAAAATTTCGAAGGGGATGGAAAACAAAACTTGGTAGGAAGGCCTATTCCTAAATAGCAAAGGTTTGGGCTAAAGAACTAGGCTAGACTTGAAAGAGCGAACAATTATTTGATTCCAGGCACAGTCTGCAGTACTAGCCTCACAATACAAAGTGAGGAACAAGATAAATAGAACTTGCACCTCACAGAGAGGCAGAGCAGTGACACAGTCCGCCGTGGGGAGAGCTGTGGGGGCAAAGCACTGTAAAGAAACACGCTGCAGTTTTCATTCACACTGCACACAGCGCTCTGTGACTACTTATGCTACTGACACCAGATGCAGCGGTTTTCCACACATCAGGCAATTCTGCAATAGCAGCTGGGTGTCCTGTAATTTAACTCCATTCCCACGGTCTCCCTGGAGATAACATCAGATCCCACAGGTTAAGGGCTCAGGCCCACAAGAATGTCTGCACTTCAGATGCCCATTGCAAGTCCAGCTTCTTACCTGTGCTTCTGACCTATAAATGGAAGTTTCCACTAACTCCCTCCTCGGGTTCACTTAATTTGCTAGAGGGAACAGCATGAGCAAGGACCCGGAAGCTAAAGAAAGAGCCAGACATATGCAGAGAACTTGGAAATATTTTAAATTCACCAAGGCTGAAGCAGAGTGTTTAGGGAGAGAGTTGTAGCAAGAGATGAAGCTAGAAATATAAGCAGGTAGGTACCAAGTCATAAAAAGCTTTAAAAGAATAACGACAGCAGCCAGTGTTTCTGAGGAATCAGCCTTTTTCAGACTGAACTAATCACATTTCATAGACTGTCTCATTTAATACTCGACATCCTTAAAACATAAGTACGTTATTACAGACGATCAAATAATCAGGGAAGGTAAGTAAGTGGCCCAGGCCACAGACCTATGCAGTGACGGGTCCAAGTCTCAGATGCATAGCAAACTGATCCAAACCCATCCCCCTAACCACTCCTGTGGATACTACCGGAGAAGCCATGCTCTATCGTCTTAGGACCTCAGCTTCTTGTGTGTAATACTGTTACTGCTTTAGAGGCATCATTTAGGATAGTGTTTCTCCAAAGAGAGTAAGTTCATGGATCTTTCACTATTGACTTAAATCAGCCAAGTTATTTAAATGTGTGCAAACTTAAAACTAGTATAGACTCCTGGTACTTATACTGCTCATACATGGAAGTGAATATGCCAGTTAAGACAGACAAAACTTCAATAAAATGCAAATTAAGTAGCATTGATTTAATGTGCCCGCTGTTTTGCTGAAATGGCCGCTGACGCTGCGGGAGTGTGGCGCTGACACTACAGCGCAGCTTTTCCTTCAGTGCCCTTTTCGTCTTGGCGCTCTGTGGAGACCCCACCTCCCCACGCCTCTTCTCTCAGCTCCCCAGAGACCGGACTACTGTTTGGCTCCGTTCACGGGGTGGTGTCAGCAGGATTGAAATACATACGAGAGGCTCTAAAATACAGTTTCTGTATTTTAATGTGGCTTGAATTCAAAATAATAAAAATGTTCCAGACTCATTAAGATGAGATTCCGTCTGGACTGGAATTTGGTCTCTGAGTAAGAGTGGGAAAGGGGAGCTGTGAGGGGAGTGTTCGCTGGCTTTTGAGGGTTTTACTAAAGTTAGGCTTCGTAGAGACTTTTCTTAACTTCGGTTTTCTGCTGCTTCACAGGCGTCGGCACCAGAAATTATTACAGAAAGATTGGCTACAGATTACAAGGGCCATACATGGTAAAGACACTAAAGTGATGGCCACACCAGCCCACCTTGATGCAGTATCCTCCCTGGCAGAAAATAAAAATTCAAGATATTTTGAATACTCGGGAGAGAGGCTGAGCTAAACAAATGGACCCACCCTGGCTCCCTGGCAAGGAGCTTCACCCTCATCCTACAGCTGCGGAGACTGGAAACTACTTTCAGGGCCAGGCCAGACGTCTGCTGACCAAGCCCACCGAGCTTCTGATGTTCAGAGCTCCCGCTCGCCCTCTCCTGCGTGTTCTCAAGTCACGTGTCCAGTTTCTATACGTCTGCATGAAGCCTGCAATTGACCTACTTTGACTCACGCACAGTGACGAAAGCAAATTAACTCATTTGGACACATTATTCATGAAATAAAACTAGCTATTGTCATGTGAGGAATAAACTTAGGAGTAGGTTATTTATATACCATAGGGACAAAAAGGTTGGAACATAGGAAAACTGTTAGATTTTGATCTCTGGCCTTTGATATACACTCTGGCACAAGAAAAATGAGCGTCTTTTTTTTGTTTGTTTTTGTTTTTAATGGAAATCACTCTGATTCCTGTGATGTTTGAAATAACAGTGTGATGGGGAGAGGAACCGAAGTCGTCGGTTGGTGTTTCAAGCTTAAAACCAGCCTTTCTCACTTGGGAGTCTGCCATCTACAATGGGCTGTTACAAGCACCCTTTATTTCACATTTTTTCTTGTCTGTAGTCCCTACACTCTTGACCCCTACAAAGCAGGGAGGGCAGCACTTCTACCCAGAGAAGTGTTTGGCTTCCCCTCTTGTCTGTCCTGAGCAGGCAGAGTCTGACATGCCCCCGTCCGGGCGTGCGTAGCCCTGAGTCCAGATGCACTTCCACAGAAGCCGTTTCCTGCCTTGTAATTCTTTAAGATGGGCTTTGGTTTGCTTTAAATGAAGAAAGGTAAGAGCTCAACTCCTCTGAAAACAAAAAAAATGGGAAATGAGCCCAAATCGAAAAAATAGGAAAAAGATGGGCTTTTTCAAAGTTTCATATTCTAGAAGTGCCTCTTTGTAACTTCCAGGTAGTCTGCGAAGGAGACTCCACTTGGAGAGGGCCAATTCTTAAGACCATGGCTTAACTCCATGCCCCCTGGCTTCTGGGGCATTTTACAAAGGTTTAGTAAATGGAATTGATTCCCCTGAAAGGTTCAAGGAGTAAAATCTTCAGCCTACAGAGAAGAATCGTGTAAAGTGTTTTTCTTCTGCCTGTTACACATGTAGTGACATTGCTATGAATCCGTGATGCTGTTTACTTCCTCCTGGGTGCCACGTGCCATCTCATTCGGCTGCCACACGGCACTGGCATTCTCAGGGGCACGCCATGGGGCTACAAAGGCTTGCCACACCTGTAATTTAGCTACTTCTCAGTTGTGCTTGTTTTTCCTTTAAAAATAAAACTATTAAACTAACAGTGCGTGCACACTAGCTGTTAGCACATGTAACTGGGGGTGACGGAATGGAGAGCGTGCTGGCCCAGCCTCACCTCTGCCTGCAGTGTGACCACGGCTTACACAAGCGTTTCTGGGCCTCCAGGTGCTCATCCTTAATATCCCGCTGCCCTAAAGGGATCCACATGTGTAAAGTACAGAGGGGTCCCTTGTCAAATTGTAAAAAGGCTTATTTTAATATGATGATTTAGAGCAAGATTTTAAAACAAAATCACCAGGGAACGTGCCCGTTTCCAGTGGCCATCAGCCAGTGTTCCATCTGGATTTTCCTCTCAGGGCTCAGGAAAATACCTCTTTCTTTCTAGCTTGTCCTCAGCCTTCTTTGGAGTGGGTCTTCTAAGCTTGGGTAAAAGGTGCAGAACCTTTAAAGCTACATGGGAGAGACAGAGCACAGGCAGAACACCAGCAGCCTTTCTGCCACGAGAAGCTTCAGCTGCTCTTCCGACTGCCCAGGGCTTTTTCTGGCGTGTGGGGTGCTTTGCGCCTCCACGATCTGGCCAGCCTGGCCCTCTCGAAGACATGTGCCCCTCAGTCCCACGGGCCACTTCCTGAGAAGGGTCAGTTGGTCGGGACCCTGCCAGTCTCAGCACGGGAGCTTTAAAGCTTGTGTTTCTGATCTCTGTTGAACAAACCTTAGCAACCACCTTAAACCTAGTCAAATAGCCCTGCTTTTAGTTCACCTTGTTAAATCACCTGAAGAGTTTGTGAAAAGTACAACTTAAGAACTAAAGAAAATATCTTTCAAATTATAAATTTCTATTTCCAAAGGTGTGTGTGTATGTGTTTTAGAGATTATCGTCTAACCAAAAAGACAATTTGTTCATAAAGAACTCACAGACCCCTGAGTTTAAGAAAGAGCTCAAGACCTAGATTCTGAAAACCCTGAAGCTCTGGGGTGCCCCTTCACCTTTTGAGCCATATTTAAAGATTTATTTTAGAGAAAGAGAGAGTGCCGGGGTGGGGCGGTGGCGGGGGGGGTAGTGAGAGGGAGAACAAGTTTTAAGCAGACTCTGTGCCAAGCACAGAGCCCGATGTGGGGCTCGATCTCACGACTCTGAGATCACAACCTGAACCAAAATCAAGTCAGTCACTTAACCGACTGAACCACAGGTGCCCCTATGATTCCCCTTTTAATGTGAGATAAATAACCAGCTCCAAGGCAAGTGCGAGGATCAGATGTGGTCACACTGGAGAGACAATGCATAAACTGACATTCTCTTATATATAAACAGTTCTCTAGTGAAGTGGCTTCTTGACAGAAGTGTGACCTTGGGCACATAAACTTACTCTGCTTTTCAGCAAGTTCCCAGTGATGATAGTAACTCCCTCCTGCTGTAGTCGTGCAGATTAAATGAGCTCATGTAGGTAAGCCTCTTAGTACAGGGTCTGTTCAACATAAAACACTGAACTAGCTGTTATTACATCTAACAAAGTGCAGTATTTGGCCCATTCTAAAAAGGGAGTTTCTTATCTGTTAGCAATAGAATGTGGCTTTTTGCTAGAAACCCTAAATTTTGCTAGAAGCCAGTCAGAAAAATAATACCTCTTGGGCTCTGGTCCTTCTATCTCATCCATCTAAGTCTAGGGTTGCAAATTGTCAGATCCATGCTTTGAGGGACAAGAGACTAGCTGAGACCTGGGACGACAACAAGCATTTTAAAATATCACTGTAGGGGCACTGGGTGGCTCAGTCGGTTAAGCGTCTGCCTTTGGCTCAGGTTTTGATCCCAGGGTCCTGGGATCGATACGGGGTCCTGGGATTGAGCCACGCATCGGGCTCCCTGCTCAGCAGGAAGTCTGCTTCTCCTTCCTCTACCCCTCTCCCCTGCTAATGCTCTCTCTCTCATGCTCTCCCTCTCAAATAAATAAAATATTTCTTAAACTAAAATAAAAATCACTGTAATTTTGGGGGCTTCCCAGAACATTGTCCTATATCAACATGGACTGCCAGTGTCCCCTGTGTGTGCTGGTGGCTGTGTCCACTTAGGGAGTCCCTCCGAGGGAGTTCAGCAGCTTTCAGTGTGGGGAGCAGGGTAGTGCCACATTTCTCTAGATTAGAATTGCGTATGCCAGCAATACATTTCTGTTTCATTCTGGGCAGGCAGTTTCAAAAACTAAGTTTACAGACTCTTCAAAGAAACTGATTTTAACAAGTTTACAGACGCTTCAAAGAAACTGATTTTAACATCAACAACCAAATTCATGCCTGTTAGGAATAACAAACTGGCTGCTTTTTTAGGTCCGAATGTGCAGCATTATTGTACTTCTGTCTTTTCCCAAGCCTAGAATATCCTTCTCGCCCACCTGGAAAACTCCTCCTTCAAGGGAAGGAACTAGCATCTGCTGAGTCCCAAGGCACTGGGCTCCGCCTCAGGCCCTTCCCATGCTTGACTAGGCAGTCCTCGCCCAACAGTGAGTGCCAGACTCCCCCTCCCCCCGCCCCCGTGACAAAGGAGGACACCAGCTGGTGTCTTCAGCTCTGAGCCTCGAGTCACAGGCCAGGCCGCCACACTGCCCAGCTCCAGTTGGTACCAGTCCCGAAGCGTCTGGGTCGCATGCACCGGAATATAAAAGTGCCCAAGTGGCCCAGCATGGCAGCCCAGGTCTGCTGCTCAAGGGATTTAGGATCCAAACGCAAGGCAGTGACTCAGCCTTTCTCACCCCCTTCTGCCGCATGGTTCCTGTTGTAAGGGGGGGAAATGTTCAGTCCGCTTCTGTTTAAAACTGTTCAGCCAGCAGCTATTGAGCAATGAGTCTGTGCTTTCATATTATTTCATCCTCACAACAAACAACCTGTGAGGAAAATCCTGTCATCGTCCCAATTGTTAAAACTGCACATAGTAGAAGTGAATGAGGTCATCAAGAAAGAATGCAAAGCAAAGAGTCTGCTTTTCTTTTTTTAATTTAAATGAATATAGCTTATGGTTCTAAAAATTATATATGCTCATTGTAACTAATGGAAACAGAAAAGCCCAAAGTCCCCTGAGATCCCACCATCAGAGACAACCATGGTAAACACTGTGACAAGCATCCTTCATCCATCTCCCGCACACTTATGATCAGTTCCACATAAAATGTTCACACTGGGCATGTCGCTTTGGTAACTTGACAAAATGTAAGCATCTTTCCGTCCCTCTACACATAGATCCATTTAATCCCTTTTAATGACTACCTGTAATTAATATATCTATGACTAATACTCTGTTGTCAGCAGACGCCACAGTTTGTTTAAGCAGGTCTTTCGTATCTTATATTCTCTTACATTCTCATTGTCACAATAGCTAGAATCCTGAATTAAGCATTGGGGCTGCACACATAAGTGGATTCAACACTAAGATTTGCTTCTTTACACCTTTTCTCTACAAGCACTCATTCATCAACAGCAGGCTTCTTCTCTGTCTACCCCCAGGTCCTTCAGTCCCTCATTCACAACCCACTTTGCAGGAATGGTGCAAGAAATGAACCTGTCCACACTCGCCCTTTTTCATTCAGAAAGCAGCAACACACTCGATCGTGAACAAGTCCCGTGATGAGAAATGTCAAGCTGTGGGTTCACAGAAAGGCACTGGAGCATGGCCATCCTCTCATGGAGATTACAGGTGACTGTACCTTATCTTTCCTCCCCTGATGGAAGTTACTGCTTTGAGTCAGAGTCCTTTGCCAGCTAAAGCCCTGCAGTGAAGGTTATGCTCTTGTCTCAGGGCTGATCTTATCTGTGAGGTTAGCAGCTAGGAGAGCAGGAAGGTGACGGTTCCTGCTGTCCCAACCAGAGCAGGTGGAAAAGGGCTCAGCCCCTGACTCTCTAGGAAAAGCCAGCCTGGCTTTTAGCTGCCTGGGTTCAAGGCTTGTTTCCACCTGTTGTCAAGCTTTCCAAGAACCAGGGTCTCAGACCTCTATGTATTTGGGCACTGGGCAAAGGATCCTTTCTGTCCATCTAAGGAAAAGGAAAGGAAGGCTGGGAAAGTGGGGGGAGGGCAGAGAAAGGGAAGTAGTACCTATTGAACTGATACTCCTGGTATTGCCCCTCCCAGCAACCTTCTGAGGACTGATGGCCTCCATTTTACAAACTACAAACCAAGGTCCCAAACAGTGAAGGAGGTTAACCAAGGCCACAAAACTAGGAAGTGAAGAGCTGAACGTCAAGGCAACAGATTGGCATTCACAAACTGGCAGAGATCTAAGGACTCTAAAATCTATGAGCAGTGGTAGCTCTAGAAGTTCTAAAAGAAAGGGTTTCAGGGGCGCCTGGCTGGCTCAGTCGGTTAAGTGTCCAACTCCGATTTCAACTCAGGTCATGATCTCAGGGCTGTGAGATTGAGCCCTGCGTCAGGCTCCATGCTTGACAGGGAGTCTGCTTGAGATTCTCTCTCTCTCTTTGCCCCTCCCACTAGTGCTCATGCTCTTTCTCTAAAATAAATAAATCTTTTTAAAAAATAAAACAAAGGGCTTCAGACTGGCAATTGGGTTAGAAAATGATTTTAAGGGGCACCTGGGTGGCTCAGTCATTAAGCACCTGCCTTCAGCTCAGGTCCTGATCCCAGGGTCCTAAGATCGAGCCCTGCATTGGGCTCCCTACTCGGCAGGAAGCCTGCTTCTCCCTCTCCCACTCCCCCTACTTGTGTTCCCTCTCTCGCTGTATCTCTCTCTGTCAAATAGATAAATAAAATCTTTTAAAAAAATTGTTTTAAGATTTATTTATTTTTGAGAGAGAGTGTGTGCACAAGTGCAGGGAGGGGCAGAAGGAGAAGCAGGCTCCCTGCTCAGCAGGGAGCCATGTGGGACTCGATCCCAGGGCCCTGCGATCATGACCTGAGCCAAAAGCAGACACTTAACCGACTGAGCCACCCAGGCGCCCTGAAAAGGATTTTTTTTTTTAAGCTACACTTACTTAGCACACTCCATCCGCCCTCACCCCACCTACCTCAAGCTACCTCTTGGCATCAACTGCCAGTAAACTCTTCCT